GCCACCACTCCAACTACTAGGCCCCACTGCCACTGCTCCAACAACTAAGCCTCCCCCCCGCCCACCCCCATCTCAGAGAGACAGGAATAATTCACATTTCTGCTTTCCATGTGTCTGACCCTGTTACCTGTATGTCGAACAGAATGAGGAAATGTCAAGGGTGTTTAAGGACATTTCCCAGAGAGATAATTTAATATCCCGACCAATCCGCTTGGGGATGGTATTTCAGGATGGGACCCTCTTTTCCGTATCTAATCACCGGTTAGAGTGCATGTGGCACGTTGAAATAAAAACTTGAGTCTGGGTTTTAAACTGATAACCACAAGACTATATTATGCAAAGTTAAATTTACAAGCAATACCTCCATTTAACATCGGGGGCAGTCCCCGTTTACACTACAAATAGACCAGAAGGGGAAGTCCCTTAAGGTCCCTATACCTACGACAGAGTCTTTCGACGCAGGGCGATTGATGATTGGAGCTGGTGACCTACTAGCCTCTGGCTGATTTAGAGCCTTGGGCGAGGAACAGCCAGGTGATCCCTCGAAGCAGGAGTTGGGTTCGACGACCGACGATTCACCTTGCGCTGAATCTCTGCTCGCAGGCTTCCCTTCTCGCGCTTCGGTGGCGACCGGAACAGACAATGGATGACTCTGTGCCCTACCTATCCTTAATCCTATCCTAAAAATAAAACCCTACACTAATCTCAACGCGCCCGACGGACACACTCGATGACGGCCGACATGCGTGGACCGACGCGACCTGCCGCACAGACACAATGACGAGATCTAACTATCTAATACTACTTAACTAACTAAATAACCTAAGTAGGAGAACTGACCTTCCGTCAGAGTCCCCGAAGGGAAAGGTAACTAGAGTACCATTAGAAACTATACACGACCTCTTTCACTCTCTTTCGCTCCAATCTAAGCCTACTCCTAAGACCCGACGGACAAGCGACGCCCTGATCCCGGGTTAAGCCCGATGACCAGAACGAACCATCATTCGATCAGAACCTTTATAGCTTGATCTCATGCATATTCATCACCTTGATAGTTCAAACTGATTGGATATTACAAGGATGCACGTTACACATGGTTCAAAGTAATTGGCTGGTAGGAATGCTACTGAATATTAATGGTACTGAATATTCATGGATTATGCAAATGGCAACTGGCAGGTGAATGATGTTTTAAATCTCAACAGTCACCTGCGGACGTGACAGAACCTATGGCTAATATGGATGGTATCAGAAGCTTCTAAATCCAAGATGGAGTTTCAGACTCCATCTTGAAATATGGCAAATCTTGGCATATTCTAAACATACAGACATTTATGATAAAAGTTCACATTGACAAATATATTATACAGTCCTTTGCACTGTTTACATATTTTACAGGGTGACATATATCAGACCTTTACATTTACATTCAAATAGATCACATTTTGACATTTCTGCCTTACATTTCCCCTCCTTGATGGATGTCTGATGGGAAACGAAGATATTCATCACATTATTTAGGCAGCATTAAATGCAAATATTTCTTCCTTTGATCTTCTCCGCGGACAACAGATATAACAAGTTAATATGGTGTACATAGTTAGGATGGTGATATATATAACGACCAGGCTTAATGGGTTGGTAACAATAGACCTTAAACTAATGGAGGATATGTCTCCAAGCACATCTCCAAATATTCTGGTCCACAACGTTTCTTTTATGTGGATCTTTTTACCAACTTGTACAATTTTTGCTGCTGAGTGTTGGACAACCACATGTACCTTTTCGCTAATATTTTTGATGTCTGCAATGATCTGTTTCAGATTAGGATGGTTCATCATAGCTTTAATAGATTCTACATTTGGCCCTACTGACACCGATGTAATGGTATCAATAACGGCGTACCGTACTGTTATATCCTCGTAATCAGCATTGATCAATTTGACAGTAATGTCACACCCCTGTATTTCAAAAACTTTACACAGACACAGATTACTTAACTTGGGCATGACCACTTTGTAAAATTTATTCACTGTGAACGAGGGACATAAACTTCGTATGCAGATACAATGTTGGTTAATCTGCACGACTACAGACTGGTTATTACCGAAAGGGGTTAGATGTAACTCGTAATTACACTCGCCTTCTGCCTCATTTAAGCAGAGGTGACCTTGGGTCCACAGACTAGATGTGCATACATAGCCTAAATGATCTTGCGACATGCACACTTGCATGTTAACTATTTTGAAATTGCCTTCAGAGTTTTGATGTACCCAAGCTTGATTTATAATCGGCATCATCACTGAACCCTTTACGTTCAGTCCAAGCGTGGCTTTAGGGTACACTAGATCTTTTTGTGCACTTAAGACTGTTAATATTACAATGTGGAGCACATCATATCTTGGATCATATTCAGAGTGTAATACGTTCCAAAGGTCTAGGTTTTCTCTTTCAAAAGGTGTTGACACTTTTTAAAGCAAGGTGGCAATTTCCACAGGAAGATGGCCTACTAATGCATCACGAATAATACTTCGTGATAAATCAAACAACATATTTTGTACTTGAATGCAAGCCAAAGCTAGCGCTGTGTCATTTATTATCACTTGCATACCAGTTAACATTTTCAAGTGATCGTCTTCCTGTGAGTTTGCCCATTTTGGCAATAGATCTGTCACTTTTAACTGCACCTTGTCTAACCCTAATAGGGATTCTTCTAAGGGGTGTACCAAATCTTCGGTACCTGATGTCAGTCTGGCTAAACTTTTTGATAGGCGTGCATTATCGATGGCTGAGGCAATGCCCATGCCAGCACCAACTCCACCCAAAACCTTAGCAACAATATCCCTTTTGGTACGTTGTGGCGAGTCAGAGATAGTAATCAACTGCAACCACTTATGCCAACCTTGTACTAGCGGCTCTACAAAAGGTTCATATCGATTGTTTATGTCAGCCGTGTTTGATGAAAGCGGTACGTGTACCCATTTTACGTGATATTCAGGTTCGATCAATACCTGACGAGCCATGTTGGTTTTAACTACATATGGACCAATTTCGTATTTTTCGGGCTCTTCAGCCACTAGGATTTTAACCGGGAATTTTGCACCGAAAATTCCTAATACGTTCCAAGTGCCGGATTCAGTTATGTTATCAATAAATATGCCCGTGCAGACATATCTAGCGGGTTGCAGATCTGATTTGCAACTTGGCGAGGCTTTAAAGGAACTTACTCGCTGTGGTGATTTATTTTCCACACACGTCATAGGCACAGATTGTACTATCTTTTCAGGGGACACGACCGTTGCGGGTGCCGTTTCTGTGGCAAAATGATCATGATAGAATTTGATCACCCACATTATTTGTCCAGGTTTTACTATTGGACGGTATAACACATCCAAGTACACACAGGTAGATCCGGTCCACTCAGGGACTAGTACCTTACAATTAGTGAGGCACCGTCTCTCTCCTTCATAAGCTGGTTGTGCCATAGATGCATTGAGGCATAGGTGGGGATTATCGAATGTCCACCTGCATTCCTTACGAAGAGGGCTAGTGTACACAGTCATGTTTAACCACCCAGGGATATTAAAGGAGTTTTTCCTTGTGTCATCCTTACTCATTACGAAATATAATAAAATATTTCCTTCTAGTTCATTTCTTACAGTAAGGTGACAATACCCCTGATGCTGCTCTAAATGGATGGTAACCAACTGACTGCGAAACACTGGTAACTTAATTTCCCACCGCTGGCTGTTTGAAAGCAGTGCTTTATAAGTTTTTGCTGATATTATTTCCCTATTATACACCAGATCTTTAGATTGAAAGTGTGTCCAGGCAAATTGTTGTGGCACCATTGTTTAATAGGTGTTTACCACAGGTCATGGAATACTCCATTCCCCTAAAGGGCGGTCACCAGCACGACATCTCCACAGTTCATTCTGCGTGAACGTTAACCCTCGGAGATACGCCCCTATGGTCGATCCATTCTTTTGTTTAAATACATGTCCGCCCATGTCTACCCATTCTAGAGCATGGTCACCTTCTACTAGCTTTTGTACAGTGCCATGTCTTAATTTCGTTGTTACAGGACTGGAAATATTTTCTATAACACAATCGGCAAGGATTAAACCTAATAAATAGAATAGTATCCTCATTGTGGTGTGGTACTCCTACTGGAGACAAAATAACAGATATTGATTAAGAATCATTTCTTTGGACTCTCTCTCTCTCAGATGTTTCTCGCCCTCCTAACTAACTATCCCCTGTCCAAGTCTTTTCTTTAGTTTCCTTTCCACTCTTTTAGTTGGCTTGAGTGGAACCACTTGATGATTTTTCGGTTCTTTTTCGTGGTTATCTCTATCTGATAAACAGTTGGGCCAGCTTTGTTAACAATGTAGCATGACTTTTCTCACTGAAGTGTCGGTATAAAACTTTATCACCGACGTCCCATTCATGGAACTTCAGCTCGTCAGCTAGTCTCTTGTCCATTTTCCGAATGTTGCTCCTTAGGTTGACGGCTACTGATTTTTGAATTTCGCTCATCGTTTTTGCTGATCCTCATGGAATGAGGTGTACAGCTAGTTCGGATTAGGAAGGCTAATCCGAACTAGCTACTCTGTGCCGCGTGTAGCCGCGCAGCACGGGGTTCGAACTGCCGGCATTTAAAAATGGCGCCAGCTGGCTTCATGCAAATGAAGCCCGGGAAATTCAAATCCCGGGCTTCATTTGCAAGTGCGGTATGCCTACATTACTCTCCTAGTTCGAATTAGGAGGGTAGTGTAGACATACCCTAGGAGGGGCTGCCTCTGATGTCCCTGCCTGACGAGCGGGGTGGAGAACCCCCTGGGTGCTCGGGGTGTGAGGCTAGAAAGGTCTCCCTGAGCTCCCCACTCACTGCTCTGCGGGCCCAAAGAATACACCTACCAGGCACTTCCCGACGCACGGCAAGAGCTGCGAGGAGCCGTCCCAGGCCAGGCTGCAGAAGAGACTCTTCAGATTGGCCCAGCCGAGGAACACGGTGCAGCAGAAGAGGGTCACTTTGCAGCTCTGCAGCACAAGGGAAGAGCGAGGGGCCTCGCTGAGAGAGGGAGCGTCTGGGGCACGTCCCCTCCTCCCTGCTCCTTGGGCTCCTGCTCTCCCTGCCAGGGGAGGTTCCTGCCCCTTGTTCTCAATGGCTGCACAGGGGAGGGGCAGAGAACTGGCTGGCGAGAGCCGGACAGGATCTCCACAGCTCAGCCCTTCTGCGCAGAGACGGCACGGCAGCGCCAGGCCGCTCTGAGATTCCAAAGGGGCTGAGCCCAGGGGCCCTCCCCTGTGGCCCCTGCACGTCACCAGCGGCCATGACTCTGGCGCTTTGCTCTCTGGAAATACCGAGCGTGGCACTTACCAGGATCACTCTCTGCTCCTCATCTGCCAGGTGGAGCAGCAATGGGAGCAGGCAGCTGGTGAGTTCCTGCTGCACGGCCGGTTTGCCTGGGTCCTTCACCTCGCTCAGCATGGTGCCCAGCAGGGAAATGGCGGCTGAGCGGACACTACCCCTCTCCTGGCAAGGACACCCTCCCGGGGCCCTGGGGCCTGGCGCTCACACCTGCCCCCTTGGGGAGCAGCAGCAGGCGGGGGAGGATCTGGGGACAGGAGATTTGGGGGGAGGCTGCAGCAGGGCTGGGAGCTTGGTGCTCAGGTTGGCCCAGAATGGCTCTGCCAGGGAGGGGGCTGAGTCAGAGACTCCCCACCCATGGCAGGGAGCCCCTTGGGGGCTACGT